TTTAAATAGTCGTAAAGGAATTTTATGATTCTCTTTTATTTTTAATAATACAAGAAATAAAACAAAAATTATATTAGAACATAATAATTTATTTCGCATACATAATAATTAATGTTACGTCATGGCTTATATTATAATAAATATATTTGTGGAAATAAAGTTTTCATAATAATCATCATTTATACTTATCAATGCCTATTTTATAAATTATTGTTAACAATTCTTTGTTTTAATACATTGTAGTAAAAAAATTAATAGTTTAATTAATATTTTTTATTTCAATCGCGTTATCTTATCTTTTTATAGGTAGTTTTATAAATTTAAGAATGTTTTTTCTCACTTATTCTATGGTATTAACTATAAAATACATAGAAACAGTTTATATATTTGCTAATCATCAGTATCGATGAATATCTTATTTATCCTATGCATGCGATCAGTTTGAATGTGCCTATGTAATATTAATTGTTTAATGTAATTCTTTCTTTTATTTTTATATTATTGAAGTACTTTTACAAAAAAAAATAATTTAGTAATACGTTTAAATTAATATTTATAATAAAAATTTAACGCAAGTTAGTCAATGTTAAATTCATGCCAATAGTTGATTCGCTCAATAATTCTCCAATTATATTAAATAGGAGATTCATTAAATTATGCAATCAAATAATATTTTACTAATAATAATTGCTATTAATATTTTTCAAGTGTAAGTTGTCTCTTTCAACTCGTTTTAATAAGTTCTTCCTTTAAATTTGACCTCGTTCTCACTGATAAATGCCATTTATTTACACACTTCCGTATTAAATCCCAACGCAATTTCCTTTGTCAGCAATAACTTATTCCTTAATATTTTACTTAAGATCAACAAGATATTTTTAAGATCTATATCTTATTATGATATATAAAAAGAAACAATATTAACGATTTTTTTATAAGTATAATTTTATGCATTCTAATAGAATAATCGTAATCTGTATATTAGAGGATGTTTGAAAAATACTATATTAAAAATTATCTTTCGAAAGTACATAAAATTATTTATTTATTATATTAATGTCAGGTAAATTATGTGTAAATAAGCTTGAAGTACGTAAAATGTAACTGTATAAAGTTAAAATGTGATATTGTGGAATTTTTGGTTATATTTATTTCTAACTTATGAAATTTTTCTGATTTATAATTGGAAAATTGATAAATCAATTGGTTATTTGGTCATTGAAAAAGTGCACCTTATCGGTCAATTGAAATTTCATGAAATTATGATTAATTGAACGATAAAAATATTGAAAATTAAGCGATAATACATTTGTGCAATATTAATTGCACATTCATTATACGATATGCCAAAATATAATCTTCGTAATACAAATTTATATTACATAATTATATATTATAATTATATAACGTTTATATTGACTATTTATTTAAGTCTTATTTTCATATTATTCAAATTATTTATTTTCCAGTGTATAATATAAAATCCATTTTTCTTTCTCTTTCTTGATCTTTAATCATCGAAAATCAGGCACCATTCATTTTCATTTTTTATGACTAAGCAAGTGGCGCGCGTTTTCTCGCGACTTCCGGCAATACTTTCGTCAATTTCTCAATGTTCAACGCTTAACATCTGTTTACACCATCGGCCTACATTATCAATCTAAATTTTGGAATAACAGGAAAAAATACCTCAATATACGTTTTTTTAGAAAATATAATTGAAATTTTGTCAATTTAATTACGTAATTACTCGAAACTTAATGGTTACCTTCTATTTATGGGTATTTGAATAGATTTTTGTAAAATACTAATTAACACTCGTTAATTAATAAATAATAATCTATTATAAGGATATACGATATATATATATATTTTTTTTATTCTTATTGATCAAAATTATTTTTAACATCGAATAGTGTTCGAAACTCTTTTTATTTCCTGACTCCAACTGCCAATCTTTCGATAGCTTCATAATAGTTTGCCGCCTTATTAATTTCCACTGAACCATTCCCTGTCGTGAATATGAATCTGTCTTGCTGCGGGGACTTTGTTAAACCAAGTATTTTACAAAAGTATACACTTTACAAAAATGTCGTCGACATATCTCCCATGGATGATGGAAGGCACGGCAAGAGAGAACCTGCTTCCCTCCTCCTCAACCAATTGAAATAGTTATGAACATTCACTAAGAATTATTTTTCTTCAAAAAACTTTTCCAACTGAATAATATCCTTTAGTGAAGACCTGCGAACTGAATTATCGATCTATAATTTGAGAACGGCAATTTCATGTTCGTGAAAGTGGAATAATTAAAATCATGACACGTATATATAGAATTTTTTTTCTTCAGGTTATCTTAATTAACATATTAACTTTCCAAATCATTTAGAAAAATAAATAATTAATAGAACTTTTTGAAAACGATAAATGTCACATTTTTATGCTCTTTATTTGCTTTATTATTTGCAGTGTTTAATTCTTGCAACATTTGAAAACAAATAATTTATTATAAAGTTATACAAATAATGAGGAATCATTTTTTATGCAAAAATTTAATTCCTTTAATATCCGAAGTTAATTCGTATAACTATTGTTTTAAGATTGATGAGAGACATTTCTTAATAAATTTAAAGTATTCTTTCTACCCGTGTACAAGAATTCATTCAAGATAATAAATTATAAAATCGTACATCAAGTTATCTACTAATTATTACCTACTTGCAGTAAAGATTTCAACATTGAATTCATTTCTTTCTCAATAAACGTGTAAGCGGAAACAACTCCGTTAAAAAATTTAAAAAAATTATGTTACCGATCTCTCTCTCTCTCTCTCTCTCTCTCTCTCTCTCTCTCTCTATACGAAAATTTATCGGGACTCGCCGCAGCTCATCATAAGAAATGGAATCACCTTGCATTTTTACCGTTAAATGTCTGTCGCTTACACGTATTACGTGTGTATAAGTGCACGGCGATGCGTTATTACCCGCTCATGTTAATCATTATATGCGAAAGCTGTCGCGTTCGGTTGGCAAAGATAACAAGGTCTAAATCTCATTTAGTTTGCTAATGAAGAATAGATTATTAAGGTTGATAATATGTATAACATTGTAGAGGTGTATTTGTGCGTGCGTGCGCACGGGAGATTTTTGAAAGTAAAAGCTTGCGAATATACCGTTAGATACGATGATTGGGAACGGGAGGTGACGGACTCTAGTAAAGAGATCTTTACTCTCGAGCGATGATGATTATCCATAAACTTTATGTTGAAGAAAATTTTTATTCATTTATCTTGCGTATTCATTGATATATTTCATGTTCAATGTATCCTTAATTATTTGAAATACTTAAAATAATGAAATTCCTATATCGAATGGATTTGCATTATTCTTTTCTTTTTTATAAAATGCCTTCATCGCACATCAAATATTTAACTGAAATTAACAATAAAGAATTGACTATTCAATCATGAATTTCGCAAAATAAAATAAAGTTAATTTGAAATACATCGAAAGTAAATTCCATGTGCAGATGTTATTTACTAGTATGAAGATTCTGAAGCTCTACATATTCTTCAGCTTACTTATGTATTTTATTTACACCTATTTATTGAAGTATCTGTGAGTACTAGTTTTCTACAAACTATCGATAAACAAACCAAATACATTTTATTGTTAGATAAGAGTTTATTTAAAAATATATATTTACACGATAAATAATTATTTTGATTATATTTTAATAGAGAGTTATAATGCTTTTTAGTTGACACGTGCACATTAAACATCATATAAATGTTATGTCTGTTCATTAAAATTATATTAGTACTATTATTTAAGATTAAAATATTTTAAACAGTTCGTAGATAAAAATTTGAAGTGTATTGTTTAGAATTAAAAGTTGTATTTGTAAATATAATGTTTTGGTAATACGAGAGATTATTAGTCATTGATTGATAAAAAGTCATTTACAAACTTACAAGCTGCAAAGCAAAATATTTTCATATTTCCTACTCCAATTTCTAATGAGGCGCTTCTCAGAGTTCGGACTATGATATTATTTTTGTTTTTACAAATCAGTTTATTAATAATTCTCCTTTCAAACATAAAAAGACACAAACATAGTATAATAATATTTATCTTTATATATAAATATATGAATTGTAGTATATGTCTCATCTAATAAGCTGTATATTAAAAAATTCTAGAGTCCGAAGAAAAGTAGTATTATCATAAATTAAGGTTCTTGTCATTTTTTCTTTTCATATAATTATTATTTCATCTATTCATATTGTTTTCCTTACGCACACTAGTTTGTGCAATAATGATATCAACATATACTTATAATATCAATTTAACATATCAGCAGCGTTTTATTTTCTATTCAAACAGAAAAAATATGATAGATGACTTTCTATACTTTCTTCTTGTAAGTTCGTATTAAATTCATTGGATCTATACTTTTCGATCGATGGCGATTATACGCCATTTTTCATCATGAAAAAATGAAAATAATATAACATTGTTCAATTACATAAGCCATGACTTGCAAAATATTTTATAACATTTCGATACTCGTTTGATCTTTAGAATCATTTGATAATTGTAAAATACTAAACACATATAATAACAGTTTATTACTACTGCATCATGCGTCCTCCTGCCATGATAATTAATCAAAATTCTTTGGACGAAAGGTCGGTTATGCAAAGAAATGTATAAAAAATTTTTTAAGTATTTATTTTGTAGGTACACTATAAACCGTCGTATCACTCTCTCTCTCTCTCTCTCTCTCTCTCTCTCTCTCTATCTCTCTATCTCCAATTCTTGTCTTAGTTGAATATCCATCGAAATATTACGTCACTATCGAGTCCCCTCCCGCTCAACTTCCAAAACGATTCTTCTCCCTCATACATTACATTATGCCAAATAATATAAAAAGCGCGACTCTATAATACACGCTAATGATAAAGTCTGTTGGTGCTTGTGTGTGTGTGTGTGTCGCAGCAAGAGCCGAGACCAGATTTGGATACGAGCAATGGGAGCAGCGGTAGCGGACGTCCGAGATTCGTGCCTGTCACCGCCCTCGAGGATGTGCAAGCGGTCCGCTGTGCCGAATTCCATCCGCACGGGAAACTCTACGCCGTCGGCTCCAATTCCAAAACACTCCGAATATGCGCGTATCCCAAACTGCATGACGTACGGTAAGTTCTTTCGTTTGTTTTTGAATGGGTAAGCGATGCTTGCCTCTTTACACCGAGTCAGGATGCTATTGCGTAATCTTCTTTTGATTTTCACATTAAGATAATACAAGCGATGTAGAATAATATAATATGATACGTGACGTATGATTGTTTACATACTTACTCACTTATCCATTTATACTTGAGTTAGTAGAATTGCTTAATTTTATTTAATATCATTGAGGCTATTATAATAGTTGTTATCTTAATATTAAACCATATCCATGTGTTTGATCAAGAAGATTACAGAAGCATTGGACAGCAATTTTACTTCACGATGGGGCAACAAGATTATAAATTTTTCGAGTGACAATATATACTAAGTGTACGTGTGTTTTGATATCGGTGTATTAATTAATGCATGATGCAGTGGATATTGCATGCTCATAATGAATAGAAAGGATTTCATAGAAATTTCATAGATCGTTTTTACAGAACGAAAATAGTGAGATTTACATTGTAATGAGCAATTGATTGTATGAGAAGAAAAATTAATAGTCGTACGGTCGATTGTATTGAAATATTTTTTTTTCTTTTAATGTTAATGCGACTTTTTTCCAATTGTAATTGTCGTTAACGGAACCGTGAATTAGTCAGTCTGAAAATTAGTTCAAAAGAAGTAATCTTAATTGAAATAATTTTTCAGTTAATTAACATTCATTATTCAAATCACCTTTACGTATGTGTGTGCTGAGTGCAGTGATAATGGCAGTAGGCATGGCTAAACTGTACTGTTTTAGTATTTTAGCTCATTACATTTATTGGACAATAATAACATTTCTTCTATTTGTTAAAAACGAATATTTTTGTTTTTGTTTTTTTCGTTTTTTTTTCTTCGTTTTTTGTTTTTTGTTCGTAGTGATAAAAGTCGACTAGCGTAGTTAGTTAAAATATTTTTATATGTAGATTTCAAAATTAAGAAAATTTGTCGCCTCTACGCTCTGATTACTTTCTGTTACTGTTTAACGCCGTAATTATTAAGGTGCGAGTAATTATATACATGAATGTTAAAGTGAAATATAAAATTTTATTATAAATAAATATAATATAAATAAATTCTAATAATTATGCATAAACAATTTGAATTTTATTTGAGAAAAAAATATAAATCTTATTATAATTTATGAACTTTTATTGTATACTTTCAGCGACTTTTATGTATAGTAAAGAAATCTTTTGGTAATGATAAATTAAAACGACAATGGGGTATATAAGAAATTGTCGATAATTTCTGATACATAAAGTGAAAATAAGACATTATAACTTCATTGAATTTTATTACAAGTAAATATTCAAATACTTAATCCTTGGCATTGCGTCTGTGTACTCTTTAAAAAAGAAAAAACTTGTAAATTGATTTAATGTGTTTGAAAAACTGGAGCATAGAAAATGCTTTCGCTCATAATTGATGAACGGTTATCTTGTCAATTGTTTTTCAGTCATATATAATAGAGCATAAATAAATTAACGGACTTTGAACAATAAGCGCCTACTTTGCCGCAGAAATTACTTTGTACTGTTATAATTGCACAATTTACCGTTGCACCAAGTAAAATGTTATTATTATAAATACCCTAAAGGAAGATGAAATATAAATGATTAATATATTTAGTATATATAATTGAGCTAATTCTTTGTTGATTTTTATCTTATAAAATAAAAATGGAAAAGTCAAAGGATAAAAGGATAAAGCAAATAAAACAAAACTTTATATTGTATCATTAAATTACATTGAATTTATTTAAACTTATCGATGCATAAAAATAAGCTATTTTTAAAATACATTTAAATTCAGTTTAATTATGTTGATATTAATTATCATTTAAAAATTAGTTTAAATTTTAAAATTTGATCAATGTTCATCTGCAGTACATTGTTACGTTCAATTTTAATAATTAAATAGTTAAATAAGAAATAGTTCTAAACAAATCAAATAATAATATTCTTTCAATAATATTCTCTCACTCTTTAATTTGTTTATAATGATAAATAAAAATATTTGTTTTCAAATTCTTTCATCCTAATATCGCTGTACATTATTTCATTGAAATTTAAAACTTTTATTTGTAATGAAGTAGTCGACATCATGATTCATCGTCGTATTTAGTTTAATATGAAATAATTCGTTTAGAAATATGTTGTTCTTACATAAATTTAAGGATATTCCTAAATGGCATATATAAGTCTAATCTATAATTTAGTTAGTTAGAAGTTAAATTTTTTAATTTTTTCAATAAACAAATAAGCTTAGTAAAAAAATTTGTTAATTAACGATAGAAATAATTGTTTGTAACAAATTTAACAATTTTTATTATTTTTGTATATTTTTATAATACTACGTTTACGGGGGTAACAAAACTCAGAAGTAAATTTGTACGGAGTGATAACTGTTTATACACTCAAAAGTTCCGATAAATAAAAATTATAATAAAATAGTGATTCTCTAAGAATTCTGGAATATTTGAATTAGCTTAATTAGTAAAATAAACCATAATTTTTATGAGCATTACGTACTAGATTATTATAAAAGTATATTATTTCTTAATTACAATGAAAATCTTCCCAATTAAACAATAGGATGCTTAATTAATCGTCCTATTTGATTGTTGAATAGGTAATTTCATTTGTGTAAGTTCACACATTCGTATTCATATATACGTTTGAAAATAATTTTTATCTTGAAATTAATATCCACATATCTAACCGATAATTTTATTATCAATTTTATAATTCATACGTAACTTAAATATTTATACGATAATGTTATATAGTCATAATAATAATAAAAATCATAATTAAAATATCTATCTATAAGTCGACGAATTACTAAAAATAATTATCAAAAATTAAGATTTCGTAATAATTGTAACGTTTACAAGAAATTGAATACCTAATCGTCTTATTGGAATAATAAAGACAAGTGGCCCTGTATTACAATTGGGTCAATATCGCTTTTGTACTTGCTTGAAGTGCTTTTCTATGCTTTTGCGGAATAAAGAATTTTAAACTTTAAACTACTAATGTTAGAATTAAACAATCCTCGTTAACTAATTAATAGATACAACAATGAATATGTGTACAGTTTGTCGATTATTTTATTATTTATTATTATTTTATTTTATTATTTTATATTATTTTTAGCTATGGATTTTTTCTGTCAATTATATTTTGAGAAAAGAATATTTTTTTTAAAAACGAAAAGTCAAAACCAATATATATATATATATATATATATATATATATATATATATATATTGTATTGGAGCAGACATTTTCTATATTCCAATTACCTTTTAACATATTAGTTTATTATCAGTTGAGAGATGGAATTTGCTATTTTTATTAAAAATGAAGTATTTATTAAATAAATAAATAGTCAATGGGTCCTTTGCGGTATGCATAAGCGAATGAAAGATTGTAAATGTACATAATTTTATTTTATAATATATAAATTAAACTATATAAAGGAAAATAGTAAAAAAAAAAAAAAAAAAAAAATGCTGAATATTTGTAATTGGCCACAATAATTTTTCCACCTTATGAAGTACGATTGTTTTCTTGCTGAAAATCGTAGAAAATTTTTTTAAAAATATTTCTTGATCATGTGAGTGAGATACTTGCTCTTTATTAGAAGAAATTTCGATGAAAGAGAAATAGAATTATATTTCTGTAGTATATAATAATTTATAAATGAAAGTTTAATGTTCTTAATTGATTGATTTATTTATTTATTCTATTTTTTGTTATAATTTTGATCGGCATTAAGTACTTCGATTTCCTCTATTTTTTTTTAATTTTTTATTTTTTTATTTTTTTTTTACTAGAACGCATATTTCTTGTAGAAAAAAAATAATGCAATCTCATTATTTTTCTTGCTATTAAATTACATTTTAATATTTGGAGGGAATTAATTTTATCCCATATAATTAATCGTCTGAAATCGTGAATAATAATTGCTCATAATGTTCAATCTAATGATAATCGTTAATTCTTAGTCGGAAAATAAAAGTATCGCTCCCGACAATAGACGCAACTAAGTTGTGTAAATGAAGTAACGAAATTCTCAGATCATTAAAAAAGTCTATGTCAGGGAATAAAAGCAAACAACGGTTAATTAGGATTACTAAGAGAGTTTCATGACTACTCGCAACGAGTGAAAGCTTCGTAATCTCTGGTTTCCTCTTTCAACGTGCAGCTATGATCTTTTTCATCGCCTCCTTAATTTTTAACTATCCCAACAGAAATTATAAATGAGAAACATTAAACAACCGAGAATGAAAGTTTTTTTTATTTATGATTTTATAAAAAGCAATTGTTATAGATTAGCTTGGCTTTTGAAAATGATAGTTTTGTGTGCGGTATTTTATCGGCTCATTAATTACGATAAGCAAAGTATACTTTTCTAGTTGAAATTAATACAGGAAAGTGTGTTTAGGTATTTTGTTTGAAATGCAATATTATTGTAATGATCAATCAATGACTGAGATAGGAGTAAAAGCAGGAACAAAGATTATTAAGAAATATGTATATTTTCATGACCATAATGGGATTTCAATTGGTCAAAAGAATAATATATTTGCGTAATTGTATAATTCAACCGAAAACTAACAATTCTGATGCAGCGAATGTTTTATTAGAATTTTAAATAGACTTTTAGGCTTTGAGCTTCCTATTGATTCGTAATAACTATTAATAAAGGATTTATTATAAAAGTCTCATATATATTATATTTCTGGTCCAGAATTATTTTTATAACTGTCACCAGATCTATCCCAACTCTCACGCTTTTTATTATTATTTTAGAAAATTAAGGTGAATAAATGACTGATTAGAGAGAAAAAAAGTGAAGCACGTGTCCTCGAGTAATAGTCCGACCTCGAAAATCCAATAGTTGTTGGAGCCTGGAAAACAATATTCCAAATTAGAATATAATTAAGTGCAAAGTCTGAAAGCCGCACGGATCGTACATATGGAGTCTGAGAACTGGGTATAATGCAGAATGCGGAGCATAATTTGAGAGAAGTAAGGAGGTTGCGCAGAGCAAAGAGTAAAATTGGCAGGGAACAGAGGTGCGGAGCTATTGCCGTCGCGTAGAATCACTCGAGCGAAAACGAAATTTATTGAGATGTTGATAATGTGATGTGCACAACTTTTTTTTTTTTCTTTCCCGTTGGCAATACGAACTTTTACACAAAGATAATAGTTTCGAGGCAACATCGATACTCCTCGCTTGATCGCACGATTTCTCATAATTTATGGTAGATTACGCGGCTTCAATTTCTTTTACCACCACTTAGAGCTACAATCGTTATTAATATTGATTGGATTATTAATAAAAGCGAAAGTATAATTTACTGCCGTTCTATTCATTCAATTTCACTACGCAGTATTGGAAAACCAAATTTATGAAATTGATTTATATTTTTATCTTATTTATATTTATGCACAATTTATATATTATACTTCTATTGTATTTGGCTTGATTTTCTCCCTGAAATTGCTTATTAAGTAGTTTGATTGGTAATGTTGGAAATTAAAATTTCTCTAAATTTTTTAAGAAACATTTTAATATATATATATTTTAATCTAGAAAATCTAATGAATTTATATAAACTATGTAGTAAGTTTAGAAGGGAAATATCGCTTAGATTTCTCATAATTAATTATTTATTTTATATTCATCAACGCAATACAAACAATTATATTATTTTGCATATTAGTCGTGAAAAATTATTCTTAAGAATTATATTGTAAAAATTATCATCATCATCGTAATTATGTATCTTAATCAAATAATCATATGACACATATAATAAAAGCGATCAAGTTTTGTTTTATTATTAAATTATTGCAAGTCTTATTTTTTTTTTGTATTAACACATGACTCGTTCAATTTTTTTGTATATTTCTCCATACTTTATTGAATATAACTATTACTTTTTTTTATACAGCTTGATTCTTTATTTTCCGCCATTTCTAATAAAAAAGGGTGTTATTGTTAAGTAATTTATGATAATGCTTAAAAAAGAATTAATTTATAAAAGAAATTTTAAAACATAACAAAAAATAATCTTGCGTAATAATTGTTTGTGTGTATATATATAATATGCAATTTGTTTTAATATATATATATATATATATATATATATATTTTTTTTTAATGAGAATATTAAAGAAATGTATTTACCTAAGTAAATATTGACTATCCCGAGCATATAGATAGAATAGCATCAACGTGACCAACGTTTACAAAATTTACTTTTTAATGATTTATTGATATGAAAATATTATATGAGCCTTGCGTGAAGTAAAGTGAAGTGCAAAACATTAAAATTGTATATTTTCCTGAAACTAACAAATATTTCACCCTTACTCATTCAAATTTTCCTTTTTATTTCGAACTCTAGCTTCAAGGCTTTCACTAAAAGGTGAAATAAACCAATTTACTTTATTAAACCGTAGCTAATATTTCTCATCTTAATAGTAACTTAATCTTGTAATCGACGTGTAAAGCCATATATTTGATTATTTTTATGATTTTAGGGAAGATCATCAGACGTATCAACCAACGGTTCTTTTTAAAAGAACGAAACATCACAAAGGATCAATATATTGCTTGGCTTGGACACCGGATGGGCAGCTTATGGCAACCGGAAGTAATGACAAAACAGTGAAGCTTATGCGATTCAACGCCGACACATCAAATCTGGAAGGTATCAAGGAATTTTCTATTATTCGTTAATTATGACCCTAATAGCTTATTTCTCATTTGAACAAAAATATGAAATATTAAATGACAAATTCTAAGTGGCATTGAAGTTATTTGAAACCAATTTAATGAGTTTATGCGATTTTTCGATTTACTATGAATGAATAAAAGGATAGAGCAATTTTTTTCTTTTTTTTTTTTTATAATAGTTAATTATAGTGAATTTTATCACTATAAATCACATTTTTACTTTTGACCCTTTTCACACGATAATTTCGTTAAGTAGTTTTCGGTATTTAGCTTCTTGTCATTGATCTTTTATTAGATTCGTGTCCTTTTTAAAAAACCTATTTATAAAACTTAAATTATTCTTATATATTCTTAATTTAGTTACGTAACACATTTTATTAACTATTATAGTTATACTTGATTGATTAAAATTTTTAATTATATCGCTCGATTAAGAGACAGTATATTGAAACTTATTAAAGCTGAAAAGTCAGAATTACAATTTAATTACACTGAAAAGCAATGTGATAATATGCAATCAGTTATTATAGGAATTATTTTCAAAAGTAATAATATATCTCCTATCGCTTTGAAAAATTACGTAGAATAATGAAACGAGCGTATAATTGGCAAAACTAATAATTTCGTAACGCCTGCAGAAATTATGTTTTGCAACAAATTGTGAAATTCCGTGACTATATTATCAATGAGTCGCAATTTCTATGTGGCAAATTAATCTTTTTCATTTATTAGTAATACTTCCTATTAAACTTAATATATTTATTTCTATTATTCTTATCGGTCATATGTACTCTGTAGCGGCGTAGCGAGTTAAATTGTTATTTTACTTAAAACAACCTTCGGCCATTCGTTCTATCTCTTTCTTATCATCCTTAACAAGCTGAGACTAAATAAATGTTATTTATCGGAATTCTCGTTTTTTACTCTATGCTCGCTTTAACGGTACGAAGCGCCTAAAAAGCTTTGCGGTCAGGTCGATTCGTTATCCTTTTACAAAATTTTGGTATAAAGGTAAATGTGAAATATATTAAATCAATATGAAAAGGGAAAGAATGAAAGTAAATGCACGGATTAACACTTTCTATATTTTAATCTTTTTTTTCGAGATTATCAATTTAATCAATCGCACCAAGATGATCGTATAGGCGAATAATTTTTTATAACGTAATAATTGACAGCTGGTAAACGCGTGCTTCCTAATAAGTGCACTACGTAATATTTTAGGACAAGAAGTGGAGCTGACGATGCACGACGGGACGGTGCGAGACCTCTGCTTTCTCGAGGATGCGTCGAACAAGTCGAGCCTGCTGATAAGTGGCGGCGCCGGGGACTGCAAGATCTACGTTACCGACTGCGCCACGGGGACGCCCTTCCAGGCCCTCAGCGGACACAGTGGCCACGTCCTGACACTCTACAATTGGGGCGGCGCGATGTTCGTCAGCGGCTCCCAGGACAAGACCGTGCGATTCTGGGATCTGAGGACGCGCGGCTGTGTCAACATGATCACCCCGGCTACGGTACCCGGGAGCAGGGTTCGTTGCTACTATTTTCTATGTTATACCCCCACCCACTTTCACCGTATCCCCCGAGCACTTGTCCAATTGTACGAACTGGCCAATGCCTTTACGGTGTTATAGTCCTCCTCTGTCTCGTCAATTCGGTAATTCATACGCCACGCTATTGCTGGAATAAATATATCCTCGGCCAGCTGTCATTGTAAAACCCACTTCACCCATTGTCCAAAGAATTTTCGATCTATCAGGTTATTCGTTTAAATAATTGACGGAGCTTACGAAGAGGGCGGCGGATGTAAAATATTGAATTTTTCCCGGGACTCTGATATCTTAATCATTAGAGATTAACCGTCGCCGCGATCGGTGGTGTTAATGCGGGTATATCGAGGCCATCTCCTATTCCGAATCCATTGAAAATCCATTGAAAAGCAAGAGACTGTCTCGCTCGTCCCTGGATAGTCCAACGGGACGAAGCTTCTGAAGATTACCAATCGGGGGACGCAGCAAGCAGTCTCCAAAGTCGCATCCAACTTCACTCACAAAATCTTTATTACGCTGCAGGTTGGGAGCCCCGTGGCCGCATTGTGCGTCGACCCCTCGGGCCGACTCCTGGTTTCCGGCCACGAGGATAGCAGTTGCGTCCTGTTTGACATCCGGGGTGGCAGGACTGTTCAGTGCTTCAAGCCTCACGCCGCTGACATACGAAGTATTAGATTTTCGCCGTCGGCTTATTATTTGCTCACTGCCGGCTACGACAACAAGCTCGTACTCACCGATTTACAAGGTTTGTCACTTTTTGTTGCGCCTTATGCTCATCCTTGTTCATTAGACACTTTGTCCTTTTACTTCAGTGTTTGTCGATTTAGAATTTGCGGGTTGAAAGTAATATCAGAGCGGAATATGTATTATCTGTCTATTACATTTTATACATATATACGTAAGATATAGTAGTAGTCGAGTATGAGGGTAATTACGCGTCTTCCACAGTATATTCTCAGCTTATGAAAAGGAAGCTTAACATTATCGGAGATTAAAATTCCTGAGAAGTAAAGCGAATATAAAAAAATTCATGCAAGCTCGATATGCACATAAAATAAATATGGGCATTTGAATTACAGGTGATTTGACAATGCCTTTACCGAGTGTCGTTGTCGCCCAGCATCAGGATAAGGTCATATCCGGTCGTTGGCACCCGACGGAGTTCTCCTTCCTCAGTACTTCCGCTGACAAAACTGCTACCCTCTGGGCATTGCCACCAGTGTAAACCATACGCTTATCGTATTTATTTGTAAATCTAATGGTTATCCGTTAAGAAGCTCCATTTGTTTTCCCCTCGCGAATTAATCATTTGCCCGAATTCGTTAATCGGAAGTTCGGAAGTCATAAGACGAGAAGAAGTAAAAATTATAATGCGTATTGTTTTTTAAATTGAAGAAAGACTTTATTATTATTATTATTATTTTTTTTTTTTTTTTTTTTGACTGCTTGTGTTTATCTTTCTTGTGGATGACGTAACTTTTTACGATTTTCAAACAAGAATTTCATAAAACGTTTTAATGACCGTTATAAAAATATCGTATTTGCAATGTCGGTGTTTTTGTTTACAAATACTCTTTTGTGATAAATGATAAATCAGAAACTCGGTTGAAATGTTTCACCAGTCTTATTTTAATGTCATTATTCAAACTTTTTCATAATAATTTATATAATTGTCGCCTGTCATAAGTAAGATTCGCCTCCCTTTGCATTAACGAAGCCAGGATAAATTTGAAAAAAAATAAAAAAAATGTATCATCGATACTATGAATTCAGAAAACGATTTTCGAAATGACATTTGTTATCTTTTTTGCTACTAATTAATTACATTAAAAATATTCTAATACATTATAAAGAAGTAAAAAATACATTGAAAAGATTGCAATTATGAGATTTTGGTCTCGATTTTTGTCGAAATATGGATGATAATACTTTTTGGAATGGAATGGAAATTAAATTTATTACGTATGTTGAATATTACATTATTTACAAATTGTTTTTCTATAAACATTCTTATATATATTTATAAGTAGTTACTTAATTTTTTTCGTTCAAATTAGTCATCCATTTTTACAGTGATTTATTGTAAATGTTATTACAACTTTTTTCTATTATTTACGAAGCAAAAAAAGTTATTGCATTAGTAAAATATATATAAGTAAAGAAGAGAAATGTTTGAAATAAATAGAGAAGAGAATAAAAGAAATGAGAAACTTAAGACTGGATGGTCATAAATTCGAAATTCAACGATAACCATTCAATTTGAGAACTTTTATGAAAGTATTGGAAAAATATATTGGTATTAAAAAGCTCGGCAGGATTAAAAGTCGACATATATTCATAAAAATTCATTCCTTTATCAAAATTTATTTGCCTAAATAATATCATTATCTAATCGTCAGTAATTATACAATAATTAATCGATAAAATTATCTTCCCTTCTAACATCGATGTAAATATGTTAATGCTTAGATTTAAGATAGAGTTCATTGAATCGGTAAATCGATAATTCATATTTGTGTATAATAAATCTCGTAACATTTTGTTAAAGAAAACAAAACAAAAAAAAGACAAAAACAAACAAAAAAAAAAGAAACAAATAAACAAACAAACAAAAAAAAACAAAAAAAAAACAAAAAAAAAAAAACAAATAAACAAACAAACAAAAAAAAACAAAAAAAAAAACAAAAAAAAAAACAAAATAAAAAGGAAAAAAAAAATAAATAAATTCAAAGCCTACTTTACATCTTATGTAGCATATTTTCAAAAATCGTATAGTAGTTAATCCGACAACGAAGTCACTTTTATTTAATTTTTCTTTTTGTCATCAGCGCTTAAATTTTTGCCAACCTTTTGTTATTTATCTGTCATATACAATTTTAAAGAATCGTTATGTTTCTTGAAATAAATAGTTTAATATCGCCTATATTCGATGAGTAATATTATAATTAGTGCGAATAAATACAAGTAATATTATAAAGAGTATTTGACGAGTATATTGAAAAAATACGCACATAGAATATGATTCACATAATATTGATAGTATAGTGATTGTAAATTATCATTTCTATTATTAGCCGTAATGGTTACTGTAAAAATGGTTTCATTTTAATCGTTGAAATCAATCGATTTCTAATAACATTTTAATCTATCAAACTAATTGATTTCATTGAGTTGATTGAATTGTTCTTCGGTAGAAGTATTATCAACGGATTATCAATAAAAATAGAGAATGTTTTATCAATAGATATTATAATAAACGTATATAACCATTCGTATGAAAATGGGCGAAGAATTAAAAATAAATAAATGATAGATATAATTAATTTAAAATTTAAATGTGCGCAGATAGTAAGCTCCGGCATATCAAGTTCGTGACGACTTTACAGTAGCGAATGTAAACGTGCTGGAGAAGATAGTGCAAAATCATAAAATACAAGAATCAAGAAAGATAACTGCGAGATTATTAAGTACTTCTTAAAACTATTAAATATTATATATAACTCGTTACATTCTAAAAAAAAAGGAAAAAAAAATATATTTATTATGTCATCGATATTATACGTATTATATGATTTTGAGGAATCGAGCGTGTATACTGACTGTTAATACTTTATCATTTTGTCGAATTAATAATGATTAATATGACTTATACATACATATATATATATATATATATATATATATATATATATATATATATGTGTATAATTAATATATAAATAATGGTACTTAAAGTTTATCAAAATTATGTTAAGCAGGATTATTTACAATGTCAGTATGCTTAGATTCCTTAATAAAGAAAAGAAGAAAGAAGCGAAAGCAAAATGTTATAAATGATTGGGCGAGTATCAATGTAGGGTACTTCGAGGGGCTGTTAATTTACTGCCGACATTTTTAAGTCGAACTTGATAATAAAAGCCTTGATATAATTTTGTTATGATTGAAATTAGTAAATGAGCTCTCATCCATAAGAGGGAGAAGTGGAAAAAAAATGAAAGAAGCGTCTGCTTTTTGCGTAGCAATTTGTCGTGCCTTCTATCGTGGCTGCTTTCGGCGATTTGCGATTTATTTTTGTATCTTGATCCTTTAATACATATATTCTCCTTTAAAAAGAATAAATAGATATATCCTTATCGCCAAAAACTTTTTTCGACCTTCTGTCTATTCCTCTTCGTCTACAATACTTTTCCCATCATAGAAATTCCAAATATCCAACAGAACTATCTACAACATTATCTTTATGCACATATATGAATTTTGTACATCCGAATATCATCTCGATTATTTAACCTAAGACGAACAAAATAAAACAAAGTAATTCATTGCAAAATTATAATATCGCATGGTTGACGTATTATTTACAACTTTGTACTTTTTCTGTAGATATGACACTGTATGTAATATTATCACATATTATTTAAACAATAAAAATTTACGTTATTGAAACTAATAATTATAATGTGTGTAATTTTGTATAGGAATCTATTTTCGTATAGAAATTACCATTTAATTTATTTTTCATTAAAAATATTCGTAACTTCAATAGTATATAAACTTTAAATTCTATATTACGTTAAAAATAGGAAAATTATATATTGAAAGTTTTGGTAATTTAAATTGTATTGTTATTATATAAATTATTATTGAATAATCTTTATAATAATAAATAATAGTAAGAATAATATTCTTCTTAATAAATCAACATGTTGGATGTACATATTATAAGTTTCTTCAAATCTATGTTGAGTACTCAGTTTTAATTTAACATTAAATAAAATGTAAAATAATTGAAGCAGCATTTGTGTAATCCCACTAAACAATTGTTTCTTCTAATTATTTCTTAGATTGATTTTATTATTAATTATTTGTCTACCTGACGTATGTTATTAATTTCGTAATCTTTTACTTGTGATTTGTTAACTTTAGTTTCCATTTACGATTATATCAAATGCATCTCATTCGTTTTCATTTGACTATGATATAAAAAAATTTTTTTTTTTTATTTGTTTTTATATTATATTTAGATTTCGAACTATATTTTTATATTTCTATTTTAGTTTGAGCTTTTGATTTTCCATTTCCTTTCTCTCATCTACATAGTTATATTGTTTTAAAGCAAAAATTTTTATTTTTCGTAATTATTCTATATTCATGTTAGAATTATGCGAAAATTAATAATAATAATAAAAACAAAAAACAATATTTTATCCCGTATTTCATGAAATGTCCCTTTGGCTGTGACATTCATCACTCATGGCATATACGTCGATGACATTTTTGGGGGTGCGGGCACGCCGCAATATCTAATCGAAAC